AATTGATGTTTTGAATACGAAAACGGTGTTTTGTAGTCAAAGAAAAGTTTTTGAAATGTCTTGCAAAAACGGAGCTTCGAGACGGTGAATTATTCGCAACGACATACAGCTGGTAAGATGGGACATATGTGGGGTTTGTCGAGCCACAATATGATACCGTTGGTGTTGTTTTGTATTTGTAAAACTACTACGCACAAATGACACAAACAACTGGATTAATTAAAGACGAAACAGTCGAACAACGAATTAGAAAATTGGTGAACTTCTTGTTGTATCGAGATTGGAAGAATATTATAAAGCCAGACTATTCGATTTGGGAGGAAAGCATCTACGCATGGACTTCCTTAAGTGTCCCACTGCAATACTATGGATTCACAAATTCAAGGCAACCACAGATTGTAAGCGGCTGCTATGGTAGAAAAGTATTATAAAGATACTAAAAGAGCTGAATTACAGAGAAAGAGACACAGGACCTATCAACTTTATTTGAGAAATTGTTTTGGAATGAAGAGAAAGGAAACTTCGTCCAAGTTATTTGGCAGGACAACAAAAGCAAAAAGTGATCATCGACACATCGACTGCAACTATGGCGTTCAGTGACATTGTAACTGATCAAATAAAGATAAAAAACACTTTGATAACATCAGAAAGTTCAACACCAAACTTGAATACGGCATTGCAAGATATCCACAAGACTCATATTTCTATTTTTCAAAGTGGAATATTGGAGGAAAAGAAGCTGGTGAAGCAAGTTTAATATGGGGAGAAGCTGTAGACGGAATCACTGGCGCTAATTATGTTGTCAATGCCTGATGTATACAAACACGCAGGTGTGCAGTCATGACAGCGCTTCAGAATCAACAACTCTTCCACTCTTTAATTATAAGAAGCGGTAATTTGGTAATTATTGTTATGTTATAACATATGTGTTGATATAAAATAATAATAGTATTGGTAAAGTAGATTAAATAATATAAAATGGGAGGAGTCGACTGATACTTAATGATAATAATTGGAAAAGACTTTGCACGTGTCAAAGATTTCAAAGTTGTTATGATGGTCAGTCGAAATTCAATTTGTTGAGTAAAATGTACCACTTCAATCCGATACCTTTAACATCACTATAAGAAAACAAGTTGTTCCCAAACATCGAGACTTACCATCTCTACTCAAAAAGTGATTTTGACAAAAAATTCCAAAAAGGTCATTTTTGATGACTCACGAAGACGCATTGGTCTTCCACAGAACATCGAGTGCACAAATGTTGTGTTTAGTTGAGAAGATGTCAAACTCTTTGGTGGTGAAATACCAACAAAAGAGGTACAGTCGTTGTCATCATCATGTTTCAATTCATCAACTGAACAACTACAGTCTGTATTTAGATGTTATCTTATACCTTTTGAACCATAAAAATTGGAATATTTCGGGAAACAGTCCCAAAAATCTATCTTAATTGTTTTGGGTTTTTTCACGTTTTACCTAATGCCCGATTTTTAGACAACATTAAAGCTATTTTTTGTCCACCAGATAACGTTTGAGACTAGATGATATTAAAAGACTGACTTTATGAAAAATAAAATATTATATTATTAAGTTTTTTAAAAATAAACATATTATTTTTAATAGTATTTATATTATTATTTATAGTAAGTTGATAAAATAAATTAACTCGCCGACGTACCTAATCCCCAACAAACCAATACTGCTAAAAAGAGTAGTGTTTTTGTTTTTTTGAAAAAAAAATATATTATACAGTGTAGTTCAATTATAGTAAAATGAAAATGGAATAACGAGTTCAAATTTTGAACTAATAAACAAATAAATTGCGAAAAAAATGAAAAAAAAAATATAAAATTTTATGACAAAAAGTAAAAAATGGCAAAATAAGAATAGTGGTAAAATGCAATAACATTTATTCAAAACAAACAAATATGTTTTTTTATACACTAAACAAAATAACAATTGGTTTTGAGTTGAAATGAAATACAAATTGCAAAAGTAACATCAACACATGGTGACAATTTAAAAAAACAGACAAAATTTATGTGCACACAATAGTCTTAATAAAAAATATAAACTTTTCAAAAAACCCATTTTAATAACTGTGTATTTTTTCAGACAGTACGATGTAGCGAGATTTTTGACTATTTTTTCTGTTTATAATATATTTTTATCATCTTTTGATATTTACTATACTGTGACTAATCTCTTGAAGAGTGTTTATCAAAAGAAATTAAAATATAACAAGCAATCATTAAAAACAGTTTTTAGTGTCAAATATTTTATTATTTTAATGACAATTTCCCTCCATTACATAAAATCCATATGTTTTTTTATATTGTTGTCTGACTTCTTGTCTGATATATGGACTGTTAAACCAATTGTTTGTAATTTACTTTTGATATTTTGATGTATAAAAATACAAATTTTTAATAATCTATTGAAAAGAGTGTTTAAAGTGAATAAGGTAAACCACAACTATATTTTTAATTTTTCAAACAACAAAAAACCAAACTTCTTTGTTTATCAATGCTATTTTATTGTTTTATTTGGTGTATATTTTTAATTTTTGTTGTTTTTTACATTATGAGTAATTTATCTTTTTGTTGTCAATTAAAATTTTTAAATTATTATTCTTTATATTCGGTTGCTTGATAATCAATTGCAAAAACATCGCTGTCTGCAAAAGCAATGCGTAATGAATTCGTTTTATTGTTATTATATTTTACAACTATTTCGACTCATCATTTTCACTATAACACAGAAGCACGTTTCTCAATGTTAATAATTACCGCTATTATCAATGCGTCATTCAGTGAACATAATTAATTATGTTTTTATTGTTACCACTATTATTATTTATTTGTTTTGTCAAACAAGAAATATCAATTTTCAGGTTAGTTATGTGTGCTTTTTATCGTTGTTTTTAAATTTTAAGAATAATTTTCTCTGAGTTGGCAGAAATAAGTCTGTCTCTATAAGATTAACTATATTTTATTATAAACAACCATTTTTATTAGTCATTGTTTGTATTTTTATATTTTTATAATTTATATAACTTTCGAGCATAACACAAATTCAATTTAGATATTAAAACTTCTTTTTGAAATTAAATACCGAAATTGTACATATTAAAACTATAAACTACGACCAAAAACAATCTTTGTTGATTTTACACATTGACACTTTCACATAGAGATTGATTCAAGTTATAAGTGGATTGTATGTGTGACAATTTTTAAACATTTGCTGCGTTTTGTGGGTTTCTTTAATATATTTAAAAGTCCAAATTTGTTGTTATAAATTAATTGTTTCAAAATGCTACATTTGAATTTTTTTATTGTTAAATTGTGTTGTATTTATTAAATTATAAATCAAATGATTAATTTGATAACTTTCAAATTCGCTTTCTTTTATACTTACTAAATCATCATTTTCAATTTTAAAAACAAACATCAAGTTGTCGCAATTGACTGTTTATGGGGTAACACAACCACAACAACAAAACTATGTTGTGTATCCGAAACGTCGATTTTATTAACGTAAATATCAAAAATTCAACCATTGTTTGAGTTTAAAAATATTTTCAATTATTTTTTTGTTTTTAATTAATGTTTTAGAAATGAAATAAAATGTTTTTTGAATTTATAACAATAAATATTATATTTTACTATAATTTGCTAATGCCGACTTTTTCCACCAACTCTTTATTATTTTGGTTGTAATTTTTGTTATGTTTTGCTTTCAACTTTTAATTTAAAAAATAAATGCACAAAAAGATTTTTTGGTATAAAAAATAAAAAATAATTCCATTATGATAATTTTATATTATTTGTTTTTATCTATTTTTTCAGGAAAATAACCTAATAATATTTCAAAATTATTTAAACAGTTTTGGGACAAATTTTTGAAAAACTGTTAAAAAGAGCAGTATTGGGTTGTTGGCGAGTTAAACCTTATGGTGTAAAAATTATTGTTATCAAAAAATATAATTCGTTGTTTGATTGAAAATAAAAGAATATTACTAATTTCAATTATTAGTGTTATTAGAACAATTAAGCATTTTATTTTTATATCAATTTTAAAATTAAAAACGCATTTTTAAAAAAACTTCAAATTAAAATAATAAACATGCAATTTATTCATTGTCTTTTTGTCTTATTATTATACTCGGTTTATTCGAAGACAATCAAAGTGAATCTATCGGGTTCTGTGACTTCATTGAATGCCGCCTCTAAAATTGCAACATCTGGTGACGTTATAGAATTTTATTCTGGAATTTATCCCTCCCAAAAAATGGATCGAAACATTAATGCCACATATGACCGCCCCATAATAATTCGAGCTGCTTTAAATTCCAAAGTAATTTTTGAAACTAAAAAAGGTGATCCGTTTGTGTTTAATATTTTCAACTCTTCAAATATACTTGTAGTTGGTCCTTTCATAGTACGAAGTGGCACTTATTATACCGTAGGTGCTCGTAACAGCACAAATGTGACACTTTCAAATTTCAAAATATACAATTCGACTCGTTGGGCCATATTAGTGAGTGGTCTTCACATTTTAGTTTCCCACAACTACGCAGAAGACTGTGTCATGCTTAACTCCAATTGTCGCTCCACAAGTTGGACACAGTGTTATGCCACATCCGCCATCAATTCTTACGTCCCAATTCTCTCTCAAAACATCACATTTTTAAACAATGAAATTACCAAATCGTGGGGGGAGGGCATTGACATCATTTTAGCTTCAAATGTACTTGTAAAAGGTAATGTTATAACGGACGTTTTTCCCGTTCAAATTTATGTTGATAATTCAAAGAATGTTGTAATTGAAGGAAATGTGCTCAGAGACACACATCGAGAGTTCTGCAGTAATCACACCGAGTACCACGCAATTGCAATTGGAAATGAAAGTTGGCCGCCTAAATTGGTTTCTACAGTCAATATCACTATTAAAAATAACTTCATTTGGGGAACACGTTTTGGGATTGCATATTGGGGAACAAGTGCGAGTGCATATTACAGTGATGTCACAATCAGTCACAACACATTTTTTAATATTTCATCATCGGCTTTGGCATTTCAAAATTCGTGTGTTGTGAAAGGCAAAAGTGTCAACAATCAATTCAAAAACAACTTCATTTACTCGAATTATATGTGGAACGCAGCAATTGTTAATTCCAGTGAAGCGAGTGGGTGGAACATTTCAAGTAATGTGTATGTCACAGACTACCCAAAAGTTCAGAGTGATACGTGGAATGGAACTGACGGAAACACACATTCGATTGTTTTCAAAAAGAAAGACGGAAACCCTTTTAAGTTTTTTCAAAGAGGGTTCTTTAAGAATTGTACAGAAGATATGTATTTCCAATCAAATGTTGAAACTTATTGTTTTGTACCTAACATGAATTCAAGTTTATATCATAAAGGAGTAAAAGTGACATATACAAATTTGGAAAACAAAAATAATGAAGACTTTTTTAATTGTGTTAGAAGTAATTTAAATCCAAGTATCGGATTTAGTGAAGGTAATGCAATGTGTTTTAACAGCGGTGCAATCTACAATAAAGTCGGTATTATCATACTAAGTTTAGTGATATTATTATAAGCAATTTTAAAATAGTATTCGAATTTTAAAATTGACTAAAAACTCAAAATATGGTTAAGAAGAAAATACCAGCAAACCATAAATTTATAGTATATTATAGTTTTTTGTTTTTTGTCCTGTTTTTTATTAATTTTATTGAAAACCCATTAAATGGTTAAGAAACCATTTTTATAGTTTGCTGGTTGGTTTTTAGGTATCTGTAATAACTGACTTATATAAAAACAATTTTTATTATTTTTACTTATTTTACTTTAATTTTTATACAAATTTTAAACATTGAATTTCCAAAAATAAATAATCAACGAAATGAATTAATTCTCGAAAGTTCATTGAGTCAATTATTAATATTTTTACTGGTTTAAGTTGTTTGATGAAGTTTGCAAATAATTATTATTCAAGTATAAAAGTCAAACATAATAATTATAAACAACAATGAGACCTTCCGAATTGACTCCAAACTTTGAGTACATTAGATATCTCGATGGGTATGAAAAGATGATGTACCCTTCCATAATGATACTCCGTGGTGAGTTTGAACTTTCTTCGGAAATACCAAATGTCGAAGAATATCTGAATAAAAAACTTCCTACTCTTTTCAATGAATTTGATATTACCAGACTCTCTGTTTGCACATTGAAAGGCAAACCATGTTTTGTCAAATCAACACTTCCACCATTAATAAAAACTGTTTCATTTGATTTACTCGGCGATTACTCGTGCAACCGAAAAGTTCTGACAGTGAAATCACCTATTGAATTATTAAAAGAATGGAAGAGTGGTATGCCCTTACCAATGGTTTTTGTCTCAACATCAAATTCTGTTATTCGTCTTCATTTGTGTTGTTCCCATTGTCTTTCTGATGGAAGAACAATTGAAGGAATATATCGAATTGTTGCACATTTACTAGACAAAAAAATACCTCTTCCAATTAACTCCAAACTTACTGATTTTGGCCAACAAAATTTGTTCCCCAAATTAACAAAGAGTGAAGCAACAACAATACTTCCTTCTATTCTTGATTTACCCAAATCTCCACGAATTAATCCACCGGAAGAAAATATCGTTTTTTCTGATGTTTCTGATTATCTTCAATATTCGTATGCAGAGATAAGTGCATTTTGTAAAATGCACAAGGTGGGGGTGCAGGCAATAATGATGTGTGCGTTTCAAAGGGGATTGAGAAAATATTTTAATGTAAAAAATGATGTTCCTTTGATTGGAAATGTTCCTGCGGATTCCCGAACCAATTCGTGTGCTTCAGAAGAAATGAAACAAAGAGAACTCTTTAGTGGAAGTGCTTGTGTTTTTCCAATAATAACTTCAAAAGACGATTTTATTGAAGAAATTGTGGCGTGTAATACTGCAATGAAAGAAATTCAAAAAAGTATTGGAAGTGCTGCATTGGTCACTTATTTAGGAACTCGAGTTAATGCAGATAACGGAGAAGATTATCCATATGGTTTTGATTTATCGACTGACATGCCATTTGTTGGGGTGTCAAATATTGGCTGTTATAAATATGTAACAAGACCGCGAGTGTGTTGTGTCAGTGAGTCAAAAAGACTTTTACCTTCAATCATTTATGGATATAAAGAAGAGTCTATTTTAAATGTCTATTGGAAACGATCAGCACCGATGCCGCAGAATTTTCTAGATACCATTATTGAGCAATTTGATGATATATTCACAAAAATAGGATCAAAAAGGGTTTAAAATTACAAGTTATTCTATTTATAGTTACATTTTCTATACTTACAAATATAAATATTAAAATCACTGAAATTAGCAAAATGTTGTTCCATCATCAAACACTGTTTTTCCAGAATCTGTAAATCCCTTTAAACTCAAAAGAGTGTCATAAGCTTTTTTAAAAAGTTCGCCATGAAAATCGGGATGTCTGACACCTTGTTTAATAAATATCTGTTTATTCACAACCAAGTCATCGCCATGTCTTGAGAAGCATTGGTGTTTAATGTACTTCACAATAAAATCTGTGTTATATATTTGAACTATTTCGCCTTCTTTAACTCCTCTTTTAAAAGTCATTAAAAATGTTTCTACGGTGCTATTATAGTTTCGGACTTTTATTGTTTTTTGACATCCTTTATATGCCTCTTCTATTGTTAAATAAATTTCATTTGAAGATATTTGAAGTTGGTGTTCTTTCTTTTCATATAAAGACTTATCCGAATTATTAATAAATGGTTTTTGTTCTATAATATTAGTACTATTTTGGTTTGTTGTTTGTTGTTGTAAAAGCTTTTTTTCCTTTTCCATTTCATCCATTCGGTTTGTGATGTTCTCAAGTTGTGTTTTGTAAAATTCGTTTTGGGTTTTCAATTCTAAATTGGTCTTTTCAAGTTCACTGCTTTTAATTTCAAGTTCTTTATTAATTGTATAAAGTTGTCGACATTCACAATTTAATTTTTTGTTTGCATCACTTTGTTTGGCGTTAATATCTCGTTGGTGATTAAATTTGTCTTGCAGGTCTTCTATTTGTCTTAATTGTTTTTCGTTAATGATTTTTTCATTGTTAAATTGATCTAATAAAATTGTTTGAAAATTTCTTGTTTTGCTACTTTGCTGTTTCAACTTATCAGTATCTTCTTTTGTTGTGTGAACTTTCTGTTCGACAATCTCGACGTTTTGTTGTGTTTTTAAATCGTTTTTGGTACATTGCAAAGTGTTTTGTTTTACTTCTGTTACTTTATTAATTTCGTTATTGTCAACTTGATTTTGGTTTTCTGTCAATACAATTTGACTTTTTAAATTCGTTTGTAAAATATCAACACTTGGAGCTTTTAATGACGTGTTATCACTCTCAGAGATTTTTAATTCGTTTTGTAAAAGAATTACTCCAGAACTCGATGATTCTATTTTTAGTTTTTTAAGCCGTAACATAAGTTTATGAAGGCGGGCTTTTTCTGTGTTTATATCTTTAACAATTAAAAGAGATGGTGAACTTTTAGTTTTAAAAATATCTACAAGACGCGAAGAAGCTTCAATTGCGTTTTCGCAGTTGTGTTGAGCACTCAAAATTTCTTGCAAAAACTTTTCTGTGTCGATTTGGCGTTTCATTCTTTTTTACAAGATCTTTTTTCGATGACAACCATAAAAATTTAAGTATGTAAAACAACAATTTAATTGCTTTATTATATAGTTAAAATCAAATTTAAATAATGAAATTGTATTATATAATTCAAATTAACATTAGTACAAAGGAAAACAAAAATTAAAAAAAAATAAAATTGAGTGTTTTTTTTGTAAAAAAAATATAAATATTATTGTTTTTGTTTTTTAAATAATAAATAGTATTTTCAAGTTGTCTCAATAAAAATGGTTAATAATTAAATGGTTTTAAAATAGAGTTTGAAAATTAACACTTAAAATATTTTTTTAAATAATTTTAATTTATTATTTGATATAAAATAGTGTAATAATAATTATTGAAAAAATCAATAAAATTAACTTAAAACATTACTACCATAGCCAGTAATATCATCAAAGTAAATGTCGTGTTTAAAACACCATCATTGGCATTGTCATCATTATCTCCACCACTTCCTTTTATAAAAATAACACTGGTTGTATCTTCCACACTGCATTTGTTTTATTCCAAAGAGTATTTTTTCTTCATTTCATTACATTTATTATCATAAAACTTTTCCACGTTAACTTTATTTTTATACGGTTTAATTTTGTAACTATTAGTAAATAGATTAACACAATCAGTTGTCATGTAGTATATTTCTGGATTAGTAAGTGTTGTTGTCTCACAAGAAGTTGATTTTGGGAATATAGTTTCAAATACAACAGGTGTTTGCCCTTTCAAAATGTCTGTTCCATCAATTTGTTCATTCATAGTATTATCACACGCCTTTCCCATATATATGATTCCTGTTATAACTTTCACTATTTCGCCTATAAAAATTCTGTCATAATAACACACGCCTTCTGTGTAAACTTCTTTATATCCAGTTCCATTGACTTCAAATTTAATTTGTGAATCAAAAGAAGTGTCTTTTCCATACTCGAAAGTGATATTATTGTCATAACAATTATCATATTTAATAGATTCAAATTTAAGTGCGTCTGTACATTTATCATCTGAATATTTTATTATTCCACATCTGTTGTTTGATGATAATATTCTCATCGAAGTTGTACCTTCCTTTTCACAATTAGATGAAGTGTAATATTTTGGAACATATGAAATTTTTTTTATTACAATCAGAACTTCCCCAGAGAGTATGTTTAAAATAGTAACTTGGTAGTGCATTTACAATTTCAAGTACATTTGTTGTTTCTTTCTTTTCAAAGCCAAAAGTGTCATATTCAGATGTTTGGTATACCACTTTATTGTCTTCAATAACAACTTTTTCATATTTAGAATCATTTCTTAAATACACTATTCCAACATAATATCCTTCATATGTAAATTCTGATCTTTTTATAACAAAAGAAGTTGGAAGGGTATATAAAGAACTGTCCTTACATACCCCAAGTTCATACGTATTAGAAGATTTACCACTCGAGCACGCATTGTTGTTGTAATTAGTAACAACAGCAGTTGTCCCAGAAATTAATATTTGGACACTTTTGTATATAGACAGAGCAATGCATTTTAGTGAGGTATAATACCTTTCTGGAGAAGTATAAGTGTTATTGTCACACACAATAGAATTTACAAATTTCACTTCTTTGAGATAAAAAGGAGGAACTTCATCGGCGGGATATGCTTTAAATGCATCAGTAGGTTTCATAGAGTCGCTGCATGTAATTCCTGAATAATGAATACCTTCTTTCATTTTAATATAAGAAGAGGACGAATCTAAATAACACACATTTTCTCTATATATATTAAAATACCCATTTTTTGTGAGACGTACAGTGTTGTAGAGTCATAAGTATACCCTCCAAAAGTGAAGGAGGACATCTTCTTATTTATATTATAACACATGTTGTATTTATATTCAACACTTTTATTTAACAGTTCAATAGTGCACTTTTTGTCAGTGTAATATCTTTTTATTAGCTTCGACTCAAGTGTTTTCATCATATAGAAATACTCTCCGTCAACAACACAACTTGCTTTGGAATATAATTTGACTGGACTTCCTGTATTTTCGACATCACAAGAATTTTTTTCT